GACCATCCTAGGTCGGTTCGTATTGGGAAACAAGAAAAACAGTATTTCTTTCTTTCAAACCTCATTCAGCTTTTCAAACAATATTCATGGTAACCTTAAGTCTACGTGCACATTCTGACGTATAAATGATTAGTTTGTGGGGCGGGAAATTATCTTAGTTTGTAGCGATCGGTCGCTGACATAAGAAGAGTTGATTAGGTACAAGGAAAGCTTTTATCCCGAAATAAACTTACTTATGTAGAAACAGGTTCGGTTTTTCGAATTATTCCAACCGTATTATGCATACTGGAGCCAGTGGTTCAAGAAACCATGTGGGGGTAGGGGAGGGGGAGTGAATGGTCTGTGACGTTACTACTTTGTCAATCTTTTCCGCATCAATGATTCAGCGACTCGACACTGATGCAATCTGGCAATGGCATCGCCATTTATGTTCTAGAATAATTCAACGTACGTGACTTTCATTAGTCGATACTACTGCATTTACCGTGATTAATGTTATAATTCATACCGTTTTTTTTTTACACGTGCTCGGTGTTAACAAAGCTTTTATTTTTAAAGTAATGACCACGAGTACGACTCAAACTTGTTAAAAACATGTAACACAAAGACTTCCAACATACATAAATTAAAGTGGGCTGATTTCCTTCGAAGAAAGTGTTAGTGACTCTTCTTCTGTCTTTAACCAGGGATTTTGCATACAGCTGTTTATCGATGTAAGTACCTTTTTCCGATATGTTTCATTGCTTTTCTTCAACAAGCTTCGAGAGCATTCGAAGACATTTTGTCGAAAAATTTGCATCTTCATCTTCAGAGGAAATTAAATGATTTAGAAAAAGTACAATTTAACTTACCCATGGAGATTTAAGGAAAATGTTCAGTTCTAGCTAGTCTAACGCCATCGTATTGCTTATTTTCCGTTATTCTGCTGGAAACTTTAGTGACAGATTTTAGTGATTCTCGTAGAACATTCCTAACAGAATTGGTATGATATAACTAAAGGGGTTCAGAAAACGGGCTAAAAAATTGAATATTGCACTTAGAGACTTTTTACTGAATCCCTTCGTTTAATTTGTCAAAATGAACAGGGTTTTTTTTCCACCCAAATAAGGGCATAAGTTGCGTCGCCGATAAAAAAGGGAGTTTTAGCAACGACGACGGCGACGGCAACGAGAACTGCAGAAAACAATAGTCCCTGAATAGTTCGCCAGCATTTTCCAAGTGAAACACATCGGAATAACCTCGAAAGAGTTACAT